GAGGCACGCAAGTTGTCCACGGGAAAGCTGAAGAAGCCCTGGATCTCCTTCTGATGCAAGTCCATGGTGATGATGTGTGTTAATCCTTCAGAGTATGTATTACACAGCGTGCTGCGGGCGGGGAAAAGCCTGTTCTAACGTTTGAGTCTAAGGCTTATTTATTTTTTTAGCACCTGGCGACTCTTTTTTTTTTTTTTTTTTTGCTTCCCATCCGTAAACACTGCATACTCTTTCAGGTGATTCGGTTTATTTTGAAAAGTCTCAACAGGATCTTGAGCTTTATTGTGAAAGGTTTATATGGAAAATAAACAAGCGGACACGCGATGGTTTTACCGTCGTTGTTGCTAATGACAACGCATAAAAACAGTCGCTTGTCCGTCCGTAGTGTGGTTATATTAAATATAAGAGAAAGAGAGAACTTTTAAGAAATTAATATAGCCACTACAGTGACCATCAAAACGATGAAAAAATATTACCGTAAACAGTTTATTTTGCGACACCACGAAACAAACGATAGTGTAAAATGAAACTAGATGTTTTTATATCGTCATCCGATATATATCGTTATATGAACAGCCCTAGAATCAAGTAAAATATCCAACAAGATGATCAAATTCAGTCTTTGAGTGTGATTAGTAGGGGTATAATGGATCTTTCGGTCTTTCTCCTGAATCATTTGGTACCCAGCGCTTAAGGTACAGACGCTATCCCTTCTTTGTTTTTAAAACGGGAACAAAGTTTTAACTTCTTTTTTTTTTTTTTTTTTTTTTTTGTTTGATCAATATTTGTTCTTTGTGTATAGTCAAAAAGCAGGAAGTTAATTCTAATGGTAAATATGATCCAGTTATCTTTCTGAACAATGAGCAATGTGAGAGTTTTGACACTTCCTAATCTTTTCTTGTTGACAGTGTTTTTGTATATTTTGTATATCATTACACTGCTTGTGAGCAGTGCCGCAAGTATATCACCAATAATCATAGGAAAAAAAACACAAAGAAAAAGGGAGATGCAGTTTTAACTACAGATTGTATTTTTTTTTTCTGACAGGATGACATCATAGATGATGTAGGAGACTTTGTCGCTGCTGCCGAGATCCTGAAAGAGAGAGGAGCCTATAAAATTTATATTATGGCCACACATGGTTTACTTTCTGCTGACGCGCCACGTCTCATAGAGGAATCAGCCATTGATGAGGTGAGGACTGATCCCCCCCCACCCACGCGAGAACTGGTTATTCATGTATTTGAACGAAACTGTCACACAAGCTAAAGGAGAAGTAGTAAAAGGTCTTTTTTTTTTCTTTTCTTTTTACGGGCTATCATTTGTTCATTGTAAACAGTGTAAAACGAGATGCTTCCTCGTAGTGGGCATTTTTTCACTGTACTGTGTAAGGACTTTCATGATCTGCTGAATAGAAGTTTTCATTTTCACTTCCTCTGAACTATCTAGAAAACAATAGTTGCAGTTTACTCTACATTTATGACTTATTAAAAACAAACAAGTGAGATCTGAGATCTATTAATTATTAATTGATCTATTAGTCTCTTTAATTTGGATCCACATACTGGTGAAAGGACTGGTAGTTGGTGCTTTTCTACCCTAAGCCCTTAAAACATACATGCCTCATGCACTTATTCATACTTTATATTTAATATTCATACACAGTTGCACCCCAATGAATGCATCTAAGGCTTCAGTATCTTTCCCATTAATGCTTTGGTGTGCAGACTGGAGTCACCAACCCTCTAATGACTTGCTCTAACTACTCTACTATAGCCACCCTGTAGCAAAGTGTTGTAGTACTACCAGAAAAGCTTCAATAATTCCAGTGCCGTCTAACACATTAGTCAAAATCTGAATTGTGTTCATCTGGGTCGATGTCTGGTAAGTATGAAAACCACAGCTGCTTATTCACATCATTTTCATACTTGTCAAATTGTTCAGTTACTCCTCGTATCATATGGATGAAAAAACAATCATTCTTATCAGGGTAGAGAGACAAGTGGGTCCCAGCCATGTCTCTGTCTGCATAACAGAGCCACTAAATTATCCTACAGAGTCAAGATTCAAGTTTTTGCTTTACTTTGAAATTAATACTAATGGGGAAACAAACAAACAAATGTTATCTTAAAAGTTTGCAGAGTGTGAAGGTGGCAAACTCAGTGTGGGGCTGTTTCCTAAACTGCTGCAGTGCTCATTTATTAAGAATTATAGAAATAAGTTATTCAAACAACAGAATCAGAATATTGATCCTGTGCCTCTTGCACTTTTCTGATTGATTGCACGAAGAAGAAAGAAAGAAAAGTCAGGGATGCCAACTAGGAAACACTATACCTGTGATCTTCTATTCATTGTACAAGTATTTTGTCCTCTTTTTGAACTCGGGACATCTTTCTTTCACAAAACTGAGATCTGAGTAACAGACCTGAGTCAATGGCAGTATTGCTTAAGTGTTTAATTATGTTTTGGGTCCAGTTTATGTCTTTACCGACTTGTCCCTTTTTTAAAGTAAAACTTACACCCCCCCCCCTTTCTTTTTTTTCTTTTCTTTCAAGTGCATGCCCATGTTTCGATACTTGCGTTTCAAGTCATTTTAAAGCAGCTCTGTTAATTATATGTCAAACTAATATTACAAAAAAATATATTCATAGTATAAAATGTCTGTGTTTACTGTGGGTCCTCAGGTTGTGGTGACCAACACAGTTCCCCATGAAGTACAGAAGCTGCAGTGTCCAAAGATCAAAACTGTGGATGTCAGCATGATATTAGCTGAGGCTATCCGCAGGATCCACAATGGCGAGTCCATGGCTTACTTGTTCCGCAACATCACTGTGGATGACTAGAGTGGCATCAGAGGTTGTCAGTGATAGAGAGCAAGTCATAATTTCCTGTGTTATACATGTTAAAAAAAAAAAAGCAATGTAAGTCATTTGAAGAGATTCTATAAATTGCCCAAAGTTATTTATCTTCTTACCAGAAGTTATTAAAAAATATTTCACTTGTTAAAAACTGATACGTTTTCGGGCGTGTCGTGGATATTATAAAAAACAAGACCTGTTTCAGTTTTTTAAGGCACGTCTCGCTGCTCTCATTCATTTCACTTGAACAAAAGATGCTTTGCATTGGTATTATTTTGTCATACTCTAACAGTACCTCCTATCTAGTGACTGAACTTAATCTGCAAAGGAGAAGAGCTGGCAAGAATTTGTTGGCTTTACTAACCAACACCTTGCCAGGTCTTGTGATCAGGGCTGCTCAGGCACTGATTTCTTTGCACTGAACGAGGCATGTTTCATCTAATGAGTAAGAACAAGTATACAAACTGTAGTTCTCAAATGATCATTTTTATGCAAATTTTCTTTGCATCTTCTGTGGAAATATTTGGGGAAATAAAAATGTTTTTGAATGTCGTCACCACAGGTTAAAATGTCACTCACTTTTGTTGTATTGCACTCTCAGCAGGAAGTTAAGAGCGAATGGCTTCATACCACCGCTGCAAGCTGCTGTGGGCGAAATGAGCCTTTATCATATTCTCGCTTTATTAATCGACTGAAATGCCGTTAACTATTACCTGATTGTGACAATGCACTACATATGACATAGCTAAAGGGAGGTGTGCACCACACTATTGCCAACTGATGCAGGGAGCTGCGATGGTTTGGTTGAATGCCTTTGATGAAGGTGAATATTGTTCTCTGTGTAATTAAAAGTACAGATAATTTGTGCTACCTACTTTAGATGGCCTATATTGAAGCCTTGACTTGGATAGACAGTTTTGCAACATACTGACATCTTTGTAAGGTGTCCCCTGTTTGTGCATTTGTTTTGCCTTCTAATTTTTAAGATTTGCGACACAGCAGCACAGTTCTGATGTTAGTCTCCAAGTGACTATGGCCTCTGAGAAAACTTCAGAGTGAAGGTTGAGTGAAAATGACTTTATTTTCTATGCTGTTTGAGCCTTTTGCTCAGGGAAATATACTTTAGAAGCCAATGCACAATTATTTGCTCTTGTGTTTATGAAGGTGTTTTACTGTTGTGTGCGCACACCCTAATACTTCGAGAATGTCTTCCATACAGCAGTACTGTACACCTGTGCTCGTTTTATCTTATCATTTAGGTTTGCTATAGATGCTGGATGTTATTTGATAAGGTTGGGCACTCTTGTGCACAGAGTTGGGTAAAAATGCCATTACCATGTCAGCTCAGATTTCTGTCCACAGCGTGTTTCAGAAATCCTCTGCATTTACTGTTTCCCTGAACCCCTCCCCATCCCAACCCCACCTTTCTGTCAGACTGTACTGTGTTTGTCACTGTTTGTGAAATTAAAAAAAACATTGCCTCTGGTTCTGGTTGCCTCTCTACCAAATAAGGAATTTTATTATTAATTAAATTAATTAAATCCACAGCATCTGCCACTTTTCTGAAAAAAATGTTATTTGAATAACTCCCTTTGCAAAACATGTGCACCTTAAACTACTATCTATCTATACATTCTAGATTATTTGAGTCTGTTCTGTAATGAAAATCACATCTAATTTGTGCTGCATCAAACAAAAAACAACAACAACAAAAAAAACGCTTATTAGCTTTATAACATATGTTATAACACTCAAGCTAAATAATTGCATCCATATTACATTTCTGCTTAAAGGCTACCACATAGCTTATAAAGTCACAAGCCTGAATTTGACATCAGTTAACACAATGGGGCATCCATTAAACATAAGTTCTAATAAAAAAAGAAAATCAATCTTTAGCTGTGTTCTTGACATACTGCCTGACTATGAACCTTATGTAGACTGTTTGTAGTATATGGCATAGCCATTACCCTTTACAGCTCCATCACTTTCACTTCAGAACCTCTGAAGCCTTTGTGGTCCAGGACTGTTTCCAAAGAAGGACGTGGATTCAGAAATCAAACTGGATTCTCTGAAAACCAAAATAGTCACAGAATTTCCTTTTTGTTCCATAGCAGCTAGTTTACTGATGCTGTAGAGGTGCAAATGTCTGTTTAGTTTTATAGGTTGTGGTGCTTAACAAAATTTATTGGAAAAACAGGATATGGGGACTGGATTAAAGTTTAAGAAGTACCAGGTTTGGTTTGTGGGCCTTAGTTTTGAATTCAACTAATATGTAATAAAAGAAACTGATCTGTCAGAATCAGAGAGATTTAAAGATTACAGATACATTTGAAGTCCAAATGTTCTATTTCAGCAAGGAAAAGCTAACATTTTGTTCCATTTGTAGTTTTGGCTACAAAGAACCAGATTTCTCTTTGCTTTTCTGGGGTTTTATATGTATTCTGTTTGGATATTTAATGAATCCTGCTAAAAAGATCTTGCAGAGACAAATGTAAAATTGAATACAGCTTTATGAGAAGGCTTTCATTTACTTTTAACATGCACTGTGATTCAAATGTTAGCATAAAGATCCAGTATGCAGTTGCCATTAGGTCTTACCGCTTCCTTAAAAACACCTGATGTGGACGTCAGAGATCCTATACTTGTTCAAAACTTCTCAGGTATATAAACAGCACTGAGGAGCTTGGACCAAGTCTAGGAGCAGAGACAAACACTTTGCCAGGCAGTGTACTCACAAATCAGACTTTTCTACTTGTTGCTATAGTAGCAGTAATCTTATCTGAGTAGTTTGCATTTCCTTTACCCTTATCTACAACTGATCCCTGTGCTCTGCCAGCAACCTACGTAAAGAGGTTTAAATCGCACCTGAGTTTTAAAAGGCAGGGGTCCCCCCTCCCGGGTCTTCGTCCATGTGCTGAGAAAGATGGGTTTGTGAATCTCAGTGGAGCAGCTGAAGGCAGCTGTGAGTTTAAACAAGGCACTAAGAGGAACTAAAGATGTGATAATTACAGATCACTTCCTTGTCTCATTCTGAGGAAACAATGTACCTTATCTGAGCATTTTTGGAAAAAGGAAGTGCACCTTTTGGTCTCTTTCTCTAAGCCTGTGTTGCCTTTTAACAGTCAGGAAATGCTAACAATGTGTATGAAGTTCTTTTAGAGAACATGAAAAGTGAACATTAAATAGCATGATACTTTATCATGCTTTATTAGGCAACTTTGTCCTGTCATTGCTGTCATTGTTAAGAATGGAGAATTAGAGAACCATCTGGAGTAAGCTCTTTAGTCAAGTTATCATGTGAATTTCTTGAAGCAGTGGATTAGATTTTAGTCTCACCCCACCAGTTTGGTTGGAATGAAAACCTCTTTATCAACTTTTGTTGCATGTTTTGGTATACACAGTAGACACAAAATCCAGCTAAACAAAACATGTGAGACATTACTCATCCAGATTTAATCTCAGTAACTAATTTTACTTCAGATAATAAAATTAGTAACTAGATTTTATTTTGCACTTCAGGAGGTTTTGGAGACATAGTCAGTGGTGTCTCTGTTCAACTCCTCATTAACACAAATATCTAATCAGACAGTGACGTGGCATTAACTCAAGATGACCTGCTGAAGTTTGAACAGGGTTAAGAATTGCTTTTTTATGTTCAACGGGCTGGTCTGAGATTTTCCTGTGCAGCATCTCTTGACTTTACAAAGAATGGTCCAAGAAACATAAAATATCCAGCAAGCGGCAGTTCTCTGGGTGCAAAATACCTTAATGCCACACGTCAGAGGAAAATGGCCAGACTGCCTCGAGCTGATAGGAAGCTCGAGCTGCCTCGAGCTGATAGGAAGGGAACAGTAACAAGGTGTGCATAAGGGCATCACTGAGCGTGCAACATGTCAAACCTTGAAGCAGATGGGCTACAGGAGCAGAAGACCATACTAGTGCCATCCTGTCAGTTATGAAATAAGGCTAGATTTGGCACAGTTCATGGTGGTGTAAAGGTTTCTTGCCATATTTCGGCATAGTTGAAACGCCACGGCCTACCTGTGACCACTGTGCGCCCATCTTCTGACAGATGCTTCCAACACGAAAACAGACCTTGTTATAAAACTATCATGATCTCAAACTGGTTCTTGCTCATGACGATAGGTTCCCTGTATTCATGTCTGTGAAGGTTCTCAGTCATCCAGGTCATCGTAGTCTAAGGAGCCAAGGTGTGAGCCACACCCGCTTTCTCACCTTGGCTCATGTGATTAGGTAGAGGATCATCAGGGGGTCCTTTGTCCCTCTTTGGGAGGAAACTCACACTGGGTTTAAATCTGGGACTCTCCACCATTTGACCCTTAGAACTGAAGAAGCTTCTCGGATGAGAGGTGAAACGTCTTCAAGCAACTCAAAGAAGTCCAGACGCTTTTCTTTCCAAGCTCCTTAGACTTCCCTGTATTCAAATGACCTCCACAGTCACCAGCGCTCAATCCAATAGATCACCTATGGGAAACCTGCAGCAACTATGTGATGTTGTCATGTCTCAGAGGAATGTTTCCAGCACCTTGTTGAATCTGCGCCACGAAGCTGTTCTCGAGGCGAAAGGGGGTACAAACCAGTACTCACAATGTGTACCTAATAAAGTGAAGTCATCAAACAATGCACACATCACCAAGTGCACCACCAGAGGGCAATGCAGCACAAAACAGAGCTTGTGCCGTTGAGATTGTGTTAAAGACCAACCAAGCGATCCTATTAGTTGACTTAATCCACTCAGTACCAATATAACTTTTCTAGGGTCTTAGGAACAAACTGTAAGACATGTCAGTTGGGTGATTCAGCAGTTTTTTCACATTTCCGTCTTATAAAAAACAAAAAAACAAATGAAAAAACCTTTACAGATCTGGTTAGACCAGCCCCATTCTCTAGAAGGGAGGTATAGTTTGTCTGTAAGTTTTGCCACAAATGCATTGAAGTGTGCAACAAGAATTAGTGTCTGGGCGCCTGGGCTTTCCTCCTACAGTACTAAAATTTGCATGTTAGGTCAAAGTTTCTGTAGGTGTGAATGTGAGTGGCAGTGGCTGTCTCTGCACCATTAGCCCTGTGATAACTGGGCCAACAGACTAGACAGTCTCACCCCACCAGTTTGGTTGGAATAAAGAGACCCAGACCCTGAATCAGGACAGCAGAAGAAAATTAATGGATTGATGTTGAATTGATTTGAATTCTTATTATAAGAGAAACAGTGTGCAGTGTGAATCTTTTTAAGGACATACAAAATAAAGTTGTTTTATTTATTTAATGGTCACCTGTTTTGACGTGTTAGACTTTAATTTTTTGCTTTTTTTAGATTCATAACTTTTCACTTATGACTGTGAAAACTTCCCCTAGTTATACAGTAACTTTCATACTGTTCCTGTTTGTCTGCTCTGCTGCTCTGTCAAATAACAAAGTCACAGCAGTAAACAAGATAAAATAGTCGGGATAGACAGGATTAAATTCAAATCTTTTATTTAACTTGAAATAAGCGCTGAATAAATACATCGAACATGCCTTTGTGGCTCTTTGTGGTGTCACAATAAATAGAAAATACCACATTAATAAGAAAAGAAAAACAAAAAACCCCTTTATGCTCAGATTTGCAATGCACTTCTGTCAGCTATTCTTTAAGACAAACTCACATAAATAAACATCAAAGTAGAGAGAACCAGCAGTGAATGTGCTCTGTGTATTTAAATGTTAGCGGTTTTGCAAACAATCTTCTAAGAGCTGTAGAACAGGTTGCACAAGCATTCACAAGAAAAAGAGTTTAAATTTGTCCTCAGTTGTTCACTTGATTCATAAAACTGACATATGCAGACACAAAAACACTTTTGCATTTATATGGTTTCACAGTTATTGCACTTTCTTTTAACAGCAGTAACATAAAGGCCCCAAATCAAACATTATCATATATTTGTATGTAAAATGAGCTCTGCACTGTCACCATATCTTACATTTTTAACATTCACATTAAGTATTTTCGAGCTCAGCCACATTCCACACTGTCTTTAAGGTCGTATTTGTTTACATCATCACATGTCGGTCCTCGCTGCAGCATCTCTGTGCTGTCAGTGCCTCTGTGGGGCTAACTGCAGTGCTTACAAGACTGATGGACAAATATTTTACTGACTCAGTGTTTCACATGAAGCTTAAGATGTATAACAGCATTTCTTGTTTTGCTTCTGTCCAAATCTGACCCTTGCAAACGAGGAACTTTCAATCTATTTACAACAGTTTTCTGCCCCCCCAGTCTCTCTTTGTCCTTTGTGCATCTCAATATCGCTATGAGAGGAGGCAGCTGTTGGTTTTGTTCATAGGAGGTCGTTTGTTGATGTCTTTGGGGAAGGTTTCCCGCCTCCGGCACAGTGCTGGACTGAGCCGACTAGGAAGATTGGCCTGCTGGAGCAGCTCCCTGAAAGCTTCCAGGACATTGATGTTGTCTTTGGCTGAAGACTCCAAGAAGCTGTGGTTCCAGTCCAACTCCACAGTGGACTCCACGTCCTCGCTGGACACCTGTCGCTCATTGTTACGATCAATCTTGTTCCCTATCACCACAATCGGTGTGTACTTGTCCTCTTTGATATCTAGGATCTCATCCCGCAGACTCTTGACTGCCTCCAGAGAGTCAGGGTCATCCACAGCGTAGACCAGAGCGAAGGCATCACTGTTCTGGATGGAGAGCCTGCGCATGGCAGGGAAGGAGTAGCTGCCACTGGTATCCATGATGTTGATAGTGACTTTGACACCCCCTACCTCATATTCTTTCCTGTGGAGCTCCTCCACTGTACGCCGATGCTTTGGCTCAAAGGTATCTTTGAGGAAACGTTGGATGAGGGCTGTCTTTCCCACTCCACCTGCTCCCAAAAACACCAGACGCACCTCTGTCTTCTCTTTCACTTCAATAGACATCTTGATGTGCTTCTTCGTGTAACAGGAAGAATTTGCCTTTTTTCACCCCTCTATTCTTCTCCTCTTTGGCTGTGGATCCTTAGCCTGGAAGGTGTTTTGATGGCAATGATGAAGAGGGAAGTGGTTGGCATGTGAGTCTGCCTGTGAGGCTACACTGCTCATTTATTTACACACATTGCCTGCCCCCTTCTGCTCCCAGCCAATCAGCAGGGAGCAGTGGCTCCATCTTGAACCTGCACCAGCCAATCAGAGATACACGTAAATCAAGTCCAGTAAGAGAAAAAAAAGGTGATACTGAGGCTTTCACTGAGAGTTTTTGTGTGCAGTGCAGAAAGCATTCCTGACTGCTGGCTCAACATCAAATATCTCAACACATCTGTTTATCTGAAAAATAATACTTCCCTTTGCAGCAAGGAGGTTAATCATTTTCATCTTTTGCTAAAAGTTTGTTGTAAAAGAGTTTATACTATAAATTGTTCACACTCAAGTGGAATTTTTCTTCTAACATAAAAGACTTAATACTCAGTTGTTGTAGCACCAGAATCAGAAAAAATATTTAAGGCTTTTGGTCTGCCTTCTAGAGTTCATTTAGGCAACTACAAAGTCGATATCAGCCACAGTTCTGACAGATCAGCTTTCTATGTCTAATAGGCAAGTCTCATATGGAGCATAATGTTTAAATTGTTTTAGCCTGCTAAAAGTTGCTGTGCACATGCAAGCTGCTTTGCTACCCATTTTTGTCCTTCTAATATTGTGACTGACTTATTCACATCTATTGTACCTGATCGCTGCTTTGTTCGGTACTGAAGAAGATAAAAATCTTCTTCACAGATCTCAGAACAGAGCAATAATGAAAAATATAAATCACTGTAAATAAACACTGTTTGACTTTATTTGTCCTCACTGAAGTATTGTAATTTAAATTTACTGGTATAAGAAAAAGAAAGTAGTCACAGGATTCTGTGGCATTCAGTACAACCTTACTGCTTCCATAAGAAGCAGTATAAAGAATTAACTAGCAGCCAGT